ATCCAGCCTTTACATGGGGATGGTTGGCACATGTTATGGGGGTAGTTGGCACAGCATTAAAAGGCTAATTTCAAAGAATGAAGCAACATATAAAAATAATTGTAGCTTTTAGTTTAAACAAAACATATATAACAAATACAAACATCAAATGGCATCAAAATGACATTTTTGAATTAATTCAATGTTATAAATATTTATTTTATCACTGGCTTGTATTGAACAGTGCTGGACAAAGCATACAACTTTTATAACTGAATGAATTTAGTGATAAATTCTGTAAAATGTTACTTGATTAAATACAGAAATCATCAATTCATATTTTATATAGAAATTCAGAGGCCATTGTCACATATAAGTCTTAAAAGTACAGTAACTTTTTTATTCTAAGCTAAAGGTTGAAAAATATTCATGCAAAAACTAATTCTGTCCATTTTTCAATCCTAATAAGTGAACCTTAAACAGATATGGGCCCTTTAACGATCCGCAAAAACAAAGCGCGTTTTTGCACCAAGACAAACTTGGCTCTGACCGAGCGGCTGCCCCTTAAAGTCAGGAAGTAATGAACAATGTGAACCTTAGTCGAAAGATAACATTCTTTGGCAAGCTAGGTATGTGAACTTTCACATTCATACCGTGTTCCTTCGGTTCTGTTTTCCTTTGAAATAATGAGAGGGCCTCTATTTTTTTTCCGGGATTAATAATTAACTCCAAGTTTCGCTGCAGAAAATAATAAGCTGGGCGACTCAAAAGCTCTGTGGCATGACAAGACCTTCCTGAGGGAAACTTAGAACACTAGAAAGCTGACAGTTTAGCTAAGTATCAGGTTCTGTAGCTGCTGGGGGAAAAAGCAACTTCTCATCCTCTTCCTTCTGCTGTTTGGTGGGGGATCAGGTTTGGTCATGTGACCCATTCAGCGTCTTGGCGGCTTGACATAAGCACAAATGACTTTCGCACAAGAGCTGTTTCTCTGTTGGGGCACGAGAAGTAACAGGTTATTCCAGTTAGCAGGACATGCTAAGCTGGGCCTGCAGGCTTTAGGTAAAAATGGACTTTTCTCAGGCTGAGTCTCAAACGGCTCCAGACTCCCTATAAAGTGCACTGCAAAGGTACTTTCCAAACCCAAACAGTGCACTGAAGGCTGTACAGTGAGCCGTGCAGCTCATAAGTAAACAGAAATGGCTCTTATATGGACATATCATGCAATATTTGGGTACTGAAGTTGTTTCACGGCCTACGTAGTGCACTACTTAGGGAGCAGGGAGCCATTTGAGATTGAGCCCCTGAGATACTGACAAGAAAAGACACAAGACAGGAGAACAACAGTTGATTTCTATCGACTCTGTAATGCTTGGTTTCACGGGAGGAGGTATATGTTGAAATTACACTACAGTGAAGAACACAAGGGTGACATCTCCTGTTGGACTGAGCAAAACAGACATTCAACAGAGCTACATTCAGCGGTCAATCGAACAGTTGTGCAATCAGAGTTTACTGCAAGGACGTTCCAAAGAAAACAAGAGCATATATAGCCAAGAGTCAAAACCATCAAGGCCTAAAAAAGAAACAAAAAAGACACAACACATCTCACTGGGAATGTAAAAAAAAAAGAAAAAAGAAAACTTTTTGGTCAGCACCATATATAGTCCTACCACACAGCAGCGTGTAGTAGAGCGTAGGCCTACAGACACATGAAACTTACAATGTTTTACAATCAAAACGACCCAAAACCGCATTTGACTTTGCAAATCATCTTGGTTTTCGTCCACAGCTCTGCACTCTGTCTAACTCTGCGCTAAGTAAATTTCTTGTCATAAACACTGCATTTGCTTTCTGTTTAACCGCCTCTGCTTTACGTTCTACAGCGGTAGCGGTGGGGTTTAGAGGTGTGGACGCTGAGGCCACAGGTTTCACAGGTGAAGGTGAAGTGAGATCGAGCTGGCATTCCACAGCGCTGACTCCACGGCCCCCGGCCTTTCCCATGCGCCGGAGGGCCAGGCTGCCTTCCCACAGCTACTCCCACTCTCATGTTTCCTCTAAACCTCCATACTGCTCGCCGTTTAGGAAATTCCCTTTTGTCATCCTCTCCGCTGCCAACAGCGGCGCTTACGAAACGCTGTCCACCAAATGACTTCAGACTCTGGGCTGAACCTAAACTCAAGGCTCACTTTTCTCTTGTTTTCGTTGGTCACAAAGTGTGCTTAACAATAAATATGTTCTTCTAAAAAACCACAAAAATGATTTAATTATTTGGACCACAGCAAGTACTGTTTGACTCCTGACACATTTGGCAGGTCCTACACAGTATTAAGTTTTGTTTTTCACCATTAAACCACTTATGTTAAGGGGAACTCCACCGATTTTTCCAAATGTATGCATAGTTATATCATGTAAACAAAGTTATTCAAGATGGTTTGGTGTGAAATGCTTTGTTCTAGAAACATGAGTCAGAATTGTTCACAGCAGTGGTGATAGGAACCAGATGTCTGGCTGTAAAAGCTCCTTCACAGATAGTTATTACAAGAAATGATTACAAATACCCTGCCTGATCCCTGAGACATTATTTTCTGATAGTTTTGAGATCATAATTTGGCCAAAAATGTATTTTTACAACCCATTAATGGCGGAAAAGTACATGCAGGGAGAAACAGTACCCAAAAAAAAACACCATTATATTTTTAATAACATCACATATAAATAGGACACACACAGCAAAACACTGCTCTCACGAAGCACTAAAAGTTACTACAGTGGCAACAGCACCCTCTTGTGGAGAATCTTCAGCCTGCTCAACATGCGTGAGTTTAAAACTCACAAAACACTGATCATTTTTGGGTTAGGGATGTGCATTTTGACTTGAGATCTTGATATCAGTCTTGATATTTGAATTTCTGTATATTTGAATATTCGAATATGAATCGGTATCTGGTTAACCGTGGAGAATGAAAAAAAAAGAATGCAACAAAAAGAAAAAAATGGATTTTGGCTGAAAGTATTGTAGACTTACAGACTTAAATTTTTAGGTAACAACACTGGCGTTGCACAAAAATTTAGCACGAGCTACAGAGGAATACATTTCAAAACTGCTTTATTTTTCAACTGTAGCTGAGAAATGTTAGGGCGCTCAATGTTTCAGAGCAGCAAAATAAAACATAACTTAGGCACTAAACAGTTCTTCTAAAATAATAAATCAATGCTTACATGCAAAGATTTTTGCCAATCTGATTGAATACATTCCCATTATAGATTAAGACTGAGGTGTTTATGCTCACTCTACTCAACAATCTGATGAAAATTTCCGTTTACATGTGCACTACAAAATGACGCGCATGCGTAGAGCACCACTTAGTGTAGACGTTGCTTTAAAATGATGTCAGACTCAGGAAAACGTCCTTCACATGTCCTTATTAAAGAAGGCCGAGAGGAAGACGTCGTGTTCTGAGACACATGAGCTGGACGTCCGTCCCACCGCCGTCTTTTAAAGATCAGTGCATAAACTTCGTCTCCTCTGCAGACCAGTTTCTGCTCCGCCATGTTGAACGGTATAAACTTTCACTATGACGCGACGAACATGATCAGAACGGACTTAAACTTTCCGATAGGGAATGTAATCAGATACAGGCGTTTACACGGATATTATTCTTCTATTTAATGGATTATTTACAGGATTACCCACCTCGATCAATCAGATAGAAATTATATTCCAAATGGCCTCAATCAGAATAATCTAGGGCCATTTGGAATATAATTTCTATCTATTAGTCAGATTATTAACGGATTATCAGGCTGCATGTAAATGTCGCTAGTGGTCTGCATATTTTCTCCATTTTCCTGTAAACAAACATGCAAAAAACACCTGAATAGTGAATTTAGTATTCACCTTGAATGGTTACTTGAGTACCTGTGAACATCTTTATTTTGGATAGCAAATAAAACGTTTATGTTTGTGTTGTAGACATTATAATGTCTGGTTTCTGTCACTAACATTGTAAAGACATACGTCAGTAAATTTCTCTATGGAGAAGTGTTCCACGTTAACCATTCTCAATGACTTTGTTTACATTTCAACCACCGAATTATGCAGAAATTTTGAAAAATCAGCAGAATTCCCTTTTAAATGTTTGTATGCATTGTTTCTTCAAGTATATCAGACTCAATAAACTACAGTGTTTGGTTTTTTTAGCCCTGTACAGGTCAGTATACACATATACTATAAAATATTCTCATATTTTGGAAGTCATAAAAATCTCTGGAATACATTACCACAATTAAAACATAACTAAAGATTATACGTAAAGTATAGTCCATGATAAAATATATTATATATGATGTATTTCATAGAGTTATACAATTTTAAAGCTTTCTGTGTACCAGTCTGTCAGACTGCATTCCTCAGAGCTACAGCAGTTTTCACGTGATTAACTCATCAAGGCCTGACAGTGAGCTGCTGAGATGATTTAGGTGTGTTAACCCCTTAAACCCTTAAAGACCCGTCAACAGTCCCTCATTTCCAGGTGTCACTCTCACAACCACACAGCTTATGTTAACTCACAGCAGTTACTGAACAACAAGCCTCAAGATTAAAAACTGAATAATAAGCTGAGTTTACTGGGATACTTTTCAGGTCATTTTCAGCCTCATGTCCATCTGCCGCATCTGTAGTGCCTGGACAATAATTTTGACGTTTCCCTGAACTGAAAAAAGACCAGAAGATCTGCTCACTACAAATCTGTATGATTTGTTCTATCAGAGATGAGACTAGTTGAGGTAATATGTTACCAGTGTTGTGGTGCGGGTGCGTTTTTTTAAAGGCTCTTTCCTGTAAATAAGCAGAAAGAGAAAGTCATCAGGGCTGTTTTTACTGTGCTGCTCCAGTGTGAAATGTAAGTTGGATAAACCTATATAACAGCTTGTGTGTCTCACTGCTAGTATGATGGTTGTAGTTTTCGATTTTGTGTTGCGTAGTCATGCATTTCAAACATTTACTCACAGATTCATTTGGCTTCTATTGTAAGGAATTGAAATTGAAATTATGGTCTGTGGTAATTGATACAGATGCACCAGACAGAGATCAGACTGAAAAACACAGGAATATTCCTTTCAAGGGTTAAAGCAGTGCAAACGCTAAACCCTGCGGTGCTGCGGCCCTCCAGGAATGCAGTCCGACACATGTGCTCTGTGGCAGAGCTTTAGTGGCACCAGTCCTGCCAGTGCATGTTTAACTACAGTAAGAACTCTCTAAGCATTGTCAGAGCTCACGATTTTGCATTGTCATGTTGCATTGATGTATCCCAAAGAGGTTTTATAAGCAGGTCAGACTCAGTAAATAAAGTATTTTGTAGATTTTCCCTGTTGCGTGACCATCATCTGGCCACTTGGAGCGGTCACACAAATGCTCTACAACAGTGGTTACCAACGCCGGTCCTGGAGAACCCTGTGCTCTGCACATTATAACATTTTCCTGGTCCCAGCAGACCTGCTGCAACTAATTAGCTAGTTAACAAGCCCCTGCTGAGATGAAGTGGTTGTGTCCTGATGCCTTCATGACTAAGACGGAACTGGGAAGCTGTAAAAGTATGAAAAATCCACTAAACCACAACTTAACTAGTAATTTCCACTCTGTAAGTGGGAACTTGATAAGAGTTCCAACTTCTCTGAGTTGGTGGTTTCTGTTTGTATAAGATATGCTTTAAAGTGTGTAAATCAGTAATACATATGTGTTCTGAGTTTATCACATCACAGAAAAAATGTGTTATTAACCACCCAAACATTTGAATTACTAAAAAAATCGCCAACTATATAAAATTAGGATTTCAATTCATGAGAAAATAAGCAATATTCTCAGCTGAAACGCTGGCAGCACGTCCGCTAAAGACGCAGAAACATGCCCAAACGTGGGAAAGTGTCAAATACTACTACGACCTAAGAAATGGATGCTAGCAGCTTTATTTGAGCCTCCAGAGCTAGAATCCAGTTCAGATCTACACCTACCCAAAAATCAACCTTGTTCCTCTCAGTCTGCAACTGAACGGCCATTTCTTTCTTCCATTTATGCGAGGCTAGCGTAAGCTAATGGAGAAGTATTAGCCTGTAGCCTGTTAGCCCTGTTCCATAAACGGCTATTCTGGCTAACATATTGCCTGGACACAAAAATCGCTAACCTCACGTGGTCTTCGAGTCGGACAGACTTGGCTACTCAAAGTACCACGTAGCTGACAGCACCGTTAGTCTAGCTGTCTGAGGAGGGCTGGTGAGCCATAATGGCAGCCAGGGCTCACGGTGTGAAATGCAGCCACTGGGCACTGAGCTAGCACACACAGCACAAATGGGCTAGAGTAGGCCAGCTGGCTGATAGAGCCTTTAGCTTAGCCGAAGTTAGTGAGGGTAGCGCTGTAAGGGTCGGCGAGCCGTACCGGGGGCCAAGGCTCTGTGGAAGGTCCTCCATTTCCCAGTAAAATGTAGCCATGGGGGACTGACCTAACTCGAGCACAGCACGAAGGGACTCGAGTAGGGCAGGCTGGCCAACGTAGCAGACAGTGCCGTAGCTTACCTGAAGTTAGCGAAGCAAGTACTGTAGCAGATGACCAGCAAGCTGTTCTGCAAATTCTGGCATTCTAGGAAAGATGCTTGTGCGGGATGAAGGCATAGCTAGCAAGCAAACTGTAGCTGTAACAGGTGTAGTGACTCACAATTGAGTGGGAGAACCACTGATGCGAATGCGCTGTAGTGTGAGGGGAGCGATCATGCTAAGTATGGCTCAAGTGCGTCATCAAGCCATGATTTCAGGACCCCCAAAAAGTCCTGAACACAACAATGATGGAAAACAGATTAACGGTCTAACTTCAATATTCAGTATTACATAGTCTTTTTGTTTAGAAACAAATTTCTAAATTTCCTTTACACTGACTTTAAGACTGCCAATTTTCCAGCCTCAAACAGTTGAGGTTCCTTTAACACTCTTAGGTGTAAAGTGGGAAGCTTTAAATCTGACACTTCCAAATTCCCAGTTATCATGATTGCAGCATCAGAGCAGGGAAACCTTTGGGCAGAACAGTGGTTCTCCAGGTCCCCAGGACCAGTTTTGGTAACCATTACTTCACTGGGTTCCTGCAGGTTCTACAGGAGCCTTCAAGTTCTACAGAAACCTACAGGTTCTGCAGGAGCCTACAGGTCCTTAAGAAGCCCACAGGTTCCTCAGGAGCCTGCGGATTCTACAGGAGCCTACAGGTTCCACTAAAGCCCACAGGGTCTAAAGGAGCCTGTGGGTTCTATGGACGCTCACAGGTTGCATAGTACCCTACAGGTTCTTCTAGAGCCTGCAGGGTCTACAGGAGCTTAGAGGTTCTGCTCTAACCAGTGGATGTAGTTCCTCATACTCTGCATCCCCACCGTGAAACGTGCAGGCCAGAAAGCAAAGACCATGCATCCGTGGAAACCCTCTGTGTAATGGTCACTGGTGACGGCCACTCCGGCATCCTCCAGGCGCCGTGCGTACATGAGGCCGTCATCCCGCAACACGTCATGCTCACAGGTCATGATGTAGGCTGGCGGGACCAGCTTTAGAACTTCTCTCTCGGCCAACAAAGGAGCTGCCCGAACGTCCAGCAGGCCAGGCAGCTGTTCTAGGAGCCCAGGGGTGCCAAGATGAGGAGCCACCGGCTTATAGTGCTTCTGAAAGGCAGGTGCTAAGAGGTTGGTCCAGTTCATCTTAGCCTTAGCTGCCACCACCGCTTCCTGGCCCAGATTCACGGCTGTGTGGTTGTTAGCCAGCAGGGAAGGAACAAGCTTCAGGTCCCCATTCAGGTACTCTAGCCAAAATCGGGCCATGAGGGGGCGGTAGAGGATGGGTACATTGCCATTCTGCTGGTAAGATGGTGTATTGAAGTCCAGAGCCTGGAGCACAGGGTAGATAAGGGCCTGTACCTTGAACTTGATAGAGACGCTGTTGTCCAAGGCCAGCTGTGTCAATAAACAAATCACACTGTGTCAATAAAAAATGATATAATTTTACAGTTTCAAATATTTTCAACTAGCATTCGCAATGATGCTCTCATTTTGTCTTGGGTCATAAATCCAGCGCGCCCCTTTCCTTCACAGCGGTGCTTTTTCGCCCCTCCCTAAAAGCCCAAACTCTCTCAATCTCAGCCAGGCTGTGGCATGTTTAGTTCAGCTCGAGCCAAAATGAAAGAGCGCCTTTGGTCAACAAACAATGTAAAATCAATTCAGCTGTTTGGAAACACTTCTTCAAGGAGTCCAATGAACAAAAACAAGCCCTGCGCAAGGTTTCTTACATGGTGGGGTCTGCACCTCAAGGCAGTACGACCAATTAGTTTAATTACCTGATATTCAATTATCACCCGTTAAAAAGTTTTTTTAAGTTAAATAAATGCACCATGTTTCCAAAGTCAATGAGGAGTCATGATCAATAATGCTGATCTCAATATTGGAGAAGGGTCTGGCTGCAGACATGCACTCTCAGCCTGAGTGTTCTTGTTGGTTTTATGAGGAAAAACAGTGAACCACGTACTGCTGGGCAACAAGAGTTACACTGGATGTATATTAACGTTGTCGTACTGATAATAAGGTAATTACATATGCAAACTTTCAGAATAAAACCACGATGATAAGACATGAATGTCGGGTTTATTCGCAGAAAAAACAAACAGGCTACCGAAACTAATGAAAGCCACGCTGAAGACTATTATAACCCGAAGGTTTTGCTTCCTAACGGGAATTGGCTTGAAGATACCATTAGAGATCATTAGGAAACAAACAAATGTATCTGGAATCAGTTCCAAAACACCTGATTTGAATCCTTTACACTGCAAGGAAAACACCAAATACCATTATATCGAAAACTACCAGGAACCAATAGACACTTTTACTGGGTTCTAGGACTTTTTAAAACAGGGAGGTACATTAAATGGAATTCTCCAGCTCTGTTATGGACAAAAAATGGATTAAGTGATGATGTTGCTAAGCAGCAGCAGCCAAAAGTTACTGTGCCGTTGCTCTGCCTCTGCCGTCGTGGCAGAGAATGCATGTGCACGTGACGTCACTGGGGCTGAGAGTGCATCTGTCTGAGAGTGCATGTCTGCAGCCAGACTCTATTGAGCGATACTGACCAAAATAATCTTGATTATGATTTTTGCCATAATCAAGCAGCCCTACTGTTTGCAAGTCTTTTTTCTGTTAAAAATAAATAAATGTGTTTAAAAAAAATCTCTCTTTTCTGTTTGTGTATAAATAATTGCAGTCACATTAGCATCAAAGAAAGCATTAAATAGTATTTTTAAACTTTTTAATGCCAAAATGGAGTTTGTGACACTGCAGAATGTTAGTAAATATGCCCCCCAGGCATCTAAGGGCATCTAAGACATCTGGGCAGTGAGTTTTTATTTGATTCAAAACATTAGAATAATTAGAATAAATACATACAAACAAACAATACAATAATCATGATTTTATAGGTGTGTGTTAGCTTAACCATTAGGCTATAGAGTGTTTTCACTGCCAAAGTTCACTGAAGGGGGAATTCTACCAATTTTTTAAATTTTCTACATAGATCATTGAGATGTAAACAAGGCAATTCTGAGTGGTTTTATGTGAAGCAGATCATTGTAGGGAAACTTAGTGATCCCGATTTTTTTACAGTGATGGTGACAGGAACCAGGGGTCATCACGTCTACAACACAAATATAGCCATTTTATTTACTCTCAGAAACCATCAGTGAACCTACATATGTCTTCTATGTAATGTTGATGGTGGTAAAATAGTGTTAGATCTGAAACAAAAAGTTTCCTTTGGGGACTATTTTGCCTTACAACACCCTGCAAGTATCTCTCCACCAAGAGCGTGTTTAAAAAAATATGTTTTAGGCCGAAAAACTTGTGTCAGGCAGCATATCTGTAACCATATAATGACTTTCTGTGAGAGAGCTTTTAGAGGTGGTTGTCTGGTTCCTATCACCACCACTGTGAACAATTCTGACTCTCTAGAAGGGAGCATTTCACACCAAACCACTCTGACTTTGTTTGCATTTCAACCATTTAATTATGCCGACAGTTTGATAAATTGGTGGAGTTCCCCTTCGATGCTGAGACAGATAGTTTTAAACAATTTTCTTGGCTGCCTAAGATTCTTCACAGTACTGTGTGTATATATATAAGCATGGTTTCGCCTTACGCTGCCTGAGGGTGAGCAGCTGCAGGGCTTTCTTTCTGATCTGATCTCAGTACCTGTTGAGCCACAGCAGCAGCCAGGTTACCTCCGGCGCTGTCACCCGACACGGCCACCCTCTCCGGGTCCACAGAGAGCAGAGCTAGCACCTCCGCTGTCAGGATGTGTCTGCAGGCCTGCAGAGCATCATTATATGGCTCTGGGAAATGAACTTCAGGGGCAAGTCTGTAACTGGAAATGCAGGAGTCGCCACTCTTTAGCATAAGAACATACGATTGCAGAGAAAGATCTTCTGTATTATTACTATTTCCTGCATTTTAAAATAATAGTGAAGATAAAACCTCATTAAGCCCTAAGGGCCACATATACAGCTGTACGCAAACGTTTGAATACCTCCTTTAAATTACATGATTTGTTGGTTTTATAAGTGTAAATAGGTTAATGCATTTTCTACAGGGAACAATCTGAAATATGGCGTTTTTCTGCACATTTATTTGCTGAGATTAGATTGGAATAAAACTAATGTAACATAAAAATAAAACATACAATATAATAAAATAAAACATAAAGTGAGCCATAACTTTTGCACAGGCACATTTTGTGTTTTATACTTTTCCCAATATCATAAATTCAGCAAATAAACAGTGCATTTGTCAATTAAACTGTGTAGAATGTGTAGAAGTTGTGTTATCTTGATCAGGGGCGCCCAAACTTTGGCATACAACTGAGTGGGCCCACACCTTACCTTCCCACCCTCATCACAACATAACTAGTATGTTATATGTTAGTTAGTAAAAAATGTACTGAAATTAATCAGAAATAATTCTTTGTGGTTCTTTTTTCTTCACATGTAATCTTTATTATCATCTTTATTATTTACATATTCTTCAAGTGTTCAATGGGGTATGGAATTATAAAGTGACCAAAAAAGTTTTAGCCCTTTAAGGCTGATGCAGAAAGCAGCTATTTCTGCCTATAAGTCAGTAATAATATTATTATTAATAACAATATATGATTTATCAATGCTGTTGTATTTATTTAAGAAAAGCATGTGATCTAACAAGCTGAACATTTGTAGATTTTTATTTTGTGTCACAAAAACAGTTTGAGCAAAAAAACATATGAATAGGAGTGCATCAGCTTATATTATTACTTTAATTAAACCAATTAATAATCCATAGCAATCTGAGTTTTGTTCTGAACGTGTGCGCACGTCTGCTGAGAAACTATCACAATGCATCCAATAATAAAGGCAGCGGTGCTTCTTTTACACATTGGCTGTGTTTACATGCAAAGATTTTAGCCAATCTGATTGAATACATTCCGATTATATATTAAGACTGAGGTGTTTATGCTCACTCTACTCAACAATCTGATGAAAAATCTCAGTTTACATGCTCACTACAAGTAATCAGATCCAAAATTACACATGTGTAGAGAACCACTTAGTGTAGACGTTACCATGACAACCAGCATCACGTGAGTCCAGTCAGAGACTCAGGAAAACGTCCTTCACATGTCCTTATTAAAGAAGGCCGAGAGGAAGACGTCGTGTTCTGAGACACATAAGCTGGACGTCCGTCCCACCGCCGTCTTTTAAAGATCAGAGCATAAACTTCGTCTCCTCTGCAGACCAGTTTCTGCTCCGCCATGTTGAACGGTACAAACTTTCACTATGACGTGACGCACATGATCAGAACGTACTTAAACTTTCCGATAGGGAATGTAATCAGATACAGACGTTTACACGGATATTATTCTTCTATTTAATGGATTATTTACAGGATTACCCACCTTGTTCAATCAGATGGCCTAAATTGGTCTAGTCTATTCCGAATGCGGTGTTTACATGAATGTATTCTATTCTGATAAAGCTAGTAGTCAGATTATTAACGGATTATCAGGCTGCATGTAAACATGGCTAGTGATAAGAAACATAGTCACATGCAACTCCATGGTTATTTGAGGGGTTAATATAAGCCCCCGATTAACTTGAAGTAATACTTACTCCACAGATATAATGACTGCGTCCAAATCCTCAGCCATCCTCCTGCACAAGAGGTCATAGGATCGCATTCCTGGGTGGAATGAAGGTGGGGGAAGCATGGAGTAAAACAAAAAAAAGAGAGTTTACATATACTGGAGGTGACTATATGGAGTAAAAATAAGACCCCTAATGAAGGTTTTATGAACGGTTTAAAATGAATGTATTAATGTTTTTTAATTATGTTATATACACTTTATGACACAGTCATAACATATAACAAAGGCAAAAGTGAGCTGTTATATCTGGATCATGAATGTCTGATAAAATAGTTTAATGCTGACTGAAGACAAAGTGAGATTAATAACCACTAAAATCTGAGGTTTAACAGTGTAGATGAATGTGGGCTCATGATTTGGCAAGAAACAGTTTCTTAATGTTTTTATGACCTAATTACTAATTACATACTCTAACTCTAACATGCTTTCTAAACTGTAAGCCACATTTAAGCAGAATTACATAACAGTTTGTTTGATTTATTATGAAAAACAAAGTCATGCACAGTCATGAAACTCTGCCCTGGAATTTGTACCATTGTTTAGGGCTTCTAGGGCTTGTATATTTACCCGCACCTACTGCAGCGTTCTCTAATGACTCGAGGAGCATTTCTGTGACATTTCCAAGTCTGGCCGCTTGAGGGAGTTTGTGAACAGCCGAGCATGAGGAGTGCTGCTGTAAACACCCCTGAACGTTCCCTCACATCTTTCATCACACTGGAGAAGCAGGAATGAGTCTGACTGCATCGATATATGTATGTATATATATATGTATACATATATATATATATAAAACCAAGTATAATGTAAACACTTCTTCAATTCTGCCTTTCTAAAAAATAATTCATACCAAAATAATCAAATCAAATGATGGTGAAATTTTGTGATGCACTGGGTCGTCTCCTAAAAGTCACAATCAAACTGTATAACGTTACACAGTCATTAAATTTCTGGGTAACACTTTATTTGGAGTGGTCCTTCATAGATGATTAATAAACTCATAACAAAGTATCAGTAACATCTCAACAACATATCAGTGAAGGAGCAGTAGTGCAGCATCTGAATACACTAAGGTAAATGTCTTGTAGATGTTCTGTTGATACATTACTCTCATTAAGTAGATGTGTTGTTAATATGTTACTTCCATTAGGCAAAACCTAACCTTACCAACCTCAACCCAAAGCCTTATTCTAGCCCTAACCCTGGGCCTAATCCTAACCTTAACCCTAACCCCAACCCAAAACCTAATCCTGACCCTGGCCCTCATCCTAACCCTAACTTTAACCTCAACCCAAAACCTAATCCTAATCCTAACCCTCATATGCTTTTGATGTTACTGAGAGTCCGTTGAGTGGTTGTTTTATCTAAAAGGACTCTCAACATAAAGTGTCACCAATTTCTAAATTAAAGTTCTAAGCAAAAACCAATACGTCCACTCACGTCCACTTCCTAGGGCCCACCCTCCTCCATGGAAATAGACCACCCCTCGTTTCAGGCGTCTCGGGCTGGGTGAAGTGGACTCAAACACCCGGGCCTGCACCCCCCCAAAGGAAGTGTCAGTGACCCGCACGGACTTGCTGGACTGTGGACCCCGAACCTCGACAAGCGTCACCATGTAGTTCAGGACGTGGGTGTTGTGAGCCAGACCGAGATCCTGGACCAAATTACCCTGCAAGACCAGAGGACTGGATTAGCAAAGAGAAGCAAAGAGACTAAACACATCGGGCCATTTCAGAAGATACAATGTGTACATCAACTCCATATTAATAAAAATATTACATCAACACGATTATGCGATACAAATCGCTGTTGTCGGAACAAAACCTTGCGTCGCCAAAATGGTAACTTTACAGGAGAAGGAAAAAACCTACTTTACTTTGAATGTAAGTCAATAGAACCAGACTTTTTTCATTTTGGGCCGTTTCTTTTGGTCCATTCTTCATGAAATTTACAAACAATGTAAAGAACAACAGGCATTTTCAAATTATCTCAAAAACTGAAAAACGACAAAAATGGAGATCCGAGGTTTTGTTCCGACAGCAGCGAAATGTTGATAGTAATTCAAGTGCAAAACATAGTCGGTTATACTGAACAACATCAGTAAAGTTTTAAAGATTTTCTAAAATATGTTCTATGTATGGCCCTGAACCGAGAACCTCTCAGAGCTTCCTTCCTCTGAGATATCTGTCCCATATCTAAAGTTATATAGTATAATTGCAATATAATAATAAACATTCTATATCCTACACTCTTAAAAAAAGATGGTTCTTCAGTAAAGGCAACGGTTCTATTTAGAACCATGAGTTCTATATAGAACCATTTCATGCTTAAATGGCTCTTTGCATGGTGATATAGTTCTTCAGATTGATGGAGAATGTGCTGTATATGGTTCTATATAGAACCTGTTTGAAAACTGCTCTATATAGCACTAAAAAGGGTTCTTCTATTGTTACAAGCTCAGCATCGATACCCTGTTTGGTGCTATATAGAACCCCTTCCAGAACCATATACAGCACATTCTCCATCAGTCTGAAGAACCATTTCACCAAGCAAAAAAAAAAACAGTTTGCAGATGGTTCTTTGAGTGTTCATGGTTCTACATAGAAGCACTGTCTTTATTTCTTTTTTTAGAACCCTTGGAGAACCATCTTTTTTAAGAGTGCACTTTATAATTGATATAATTTTGTAAAGACATTTTATATTCCTGATAAAAAAATCTCGAGATTTATTGTTAAAATAAAGTGTATATATATATATATATATATATATATATATATATATATATATATATATTATAAATAACTAAGTTTTATATAGATTTTAGATAACTTTAACATAGAGCAGACATTTCATTATGTTTTTACAATTTAAGCTAAAAAAACTACCAATAAGAAACTAATAACTAAGAATAAAAGTTATTGTTTCATATAAAAATAACACGTCAGCATCTGTGAAGTCGCTGCAGTGACTGTTTTTCATGCTCTACATACTGAGATTTTTCTTTTTCGAAGTGCTGAACTTGCAGGGAACGGTCCGTTTCTGCTGCTCGTTCTCAAGAGCAACTGGTCAGTTTCAAATGTTAGGCAACATTAGGAAAAGAAAGTGTGTCAAAATGACAGCGGAGGCAGTGAGAGACGTATTGTGTAAAGGCTGAATGCGCCAAACGGATCTGTTTAATTCAAAAATAAATACGTTTAGAGTGCTGTGTGGAGCTGTGCACACGCAAATGACACTAAACTGGAAATGACAAACTTACAGACGCTTATGAGGAGTAAAAGCGAAGACGGATCAGGCGGCACAACAACATCTGCAGACCCAGACCATCTGCAGCACAGCTGTGTTACATCACGCTTCACATTTCCAACATGAGACTCCTCCATAAATTAAACATCTACACACAGACTACAGCTGTACTACACTCACAGACAGCGTACAACACACTCGGTTACACTGAACCACATCACCACAGTGTCTGACAGCACTGACCGTAACAGCACCGACACAACTTACTCGCTTTTTAAAAATATATATATTCCCACTAACTGTGGACGTCTCCGAGCTGGTCTTCCTTCCTCTGAGATATCGACACAAGAAGGAATATTTCTTTAAAGACAGTTTTGTTTCAACACCACTGACAAAAAGTCTTGAGAGAAAATTTATTAAAAAAAATATAATATGATAATAAAGTATAACATATAATACTTATCGGTGCTGTCAGGACAAAACCTCATATCTCCATTTTTGAGTTTTTTGGCATAATTTGGAAATGCTTTTTGCCCTTTATATTGTATGTAAATTTTCCAATGTGTATATAAATATATATATATATAAAATAAGTAACATAATATAAAATAAAGTATTTCTATATTTGAAATAATTTAATCATTTCATATATTGATATGACAGATTGCAGTGTTGGGGACATGAATTCATAAAAGACTTTTATTATGATAACCAACGGGACTACTGTCCTAATAAAATGCTATACTGCTGTTATAACATGGTAATATTTATCAAATTCGACCAATTTTAATGCATTTTTGCAATTTAAACTACAAAAATTGATCAAAGTTATATATTTCTCTTATTATTATTATTATTATTATTATTACTATTATTATTATCACTGCTGTGTCGAGCTGTTTTTCATGTACAACATGACTAAAAATCAGTGAAATAAACATTTCAAAAAGCAGAATTATCATCATGTTTTGTTGGTTAATTTTGGAGTAGAAGGAAAAAAATACACAGATTACGTTTCTGTGCTTCACTGTTTCGGGTTCATGTTCATGGAACTGAACTGTGGGACACCGTTTGCCACCACAGTGTAGAATGACCGGACGTATTTTACTGGTGTGTAAATGAGGCACAAGTTTGATTCACTGCACCACTTATTTAGTGTAATGTAGAACTGACACGGCCTTAAACTGCTGAAAGGTGACAGTCTAGTGAAAGTCTGCTCTTTGTAACCCCTTAAATGGTCAGGGTCCACCGGCGGGCACAAAGTTTATTACACACCTCTATAACCTAAGAATAGCTCAGCTAGTTTGCACCGAAGTCCCTGTAGTCACTGAATAATAAGCCTCAGTATGTAATAAGTCTGGGATTTTAAGGGTTAAAGAAGTTCTGAAAAACACTGCAGAGGTGATTCTCCACAGAGCTGAGTGGACGCCCTGCACTACAGGTTGGAGGAGATTCTACACAAAGCACACATTACCATTACAATGACACACAGCTTTAACACACACACACACATACACACACACCCACACACACACCCTGACACATTAAATGTGAAAAACAAACAGGCAAACGTGATAAGTGGGGTGTAAAACGGCCCAGTCGTTCATGAAGTGCAGAGCATTTCGCTTCTCACTGCAGTTTTCTCTCCGAGGGAATGTCTGTTGTCCTAGAAACGCGATTCCAATTGGGCAAATGTTACATATGCAAATCCAGAGTCACGGAAATGGTTCCTAATTTTAGGAATTTCCTGCAATGACCTGGATTTTTTTTATAATTCCATATTACAAACACAACAGAACAAAAAGGCTAAAAAGACATTCCTTCCTACTGGCCAAATTTATTATTATTATTATTATTATTATTATTTACATTTATCTACATTTTAATTTTATTGTAGTGTACTTTCTTGTTTATGGGTGTATATATGTATTGCCCTTTCAGTTGAATGGTTTTAATATAAATATGTATGTTTAATTCTTCAAAGATGTAATTGGAGCTGTTCATGATTGTTTACATAAAACTTAAAATAAGTCGAAAAAAAATCTCCAACCCTAAAAAAAAACAAAATAAGATCCCAGTGTTGGTGATGTGAACTGATAAAAGACTTTTATTATGATAACCAACAGGACTACTATCCTCATAAAATGTTATAAAATAAGTAAATAAATAAATAAAAATGTTATATTGCTGTTATTACAAGGTGATGTTCATCGTTTGTGATAAATCATAATTTTAAATATTTAATACCCTGAATAAAATACGATACATCACCACAGTTATTACCAAAAGAAGGAAACCTAACAGCAACTGCTTTGATGTAACACATTTCATTCACGCAGAACTACGACGCATTTTAATCATGTCAAGTATTTTCCCGTATGAAATTCTGGATTCTGAAGGCATGATATATAACAGCGTATCAGGATGTGTCTCATTTCTTATATTTGTCACCCATGGACACATATGTAACAAACTGTACGTGCCATTTTCAAATATGGGGCGTATACGTTGGCCAATTAATATATATAATCATATAAATGAGACACATATATTTACAAATATATGATGGAAAACATTATTCACACATAGACAGTATATATCACTCATATACGTTAGCTTTACATTAATAGTTACAGTTAATATAACAGCTACATAACTAAACTCTAAAAACATGCATGTTGTAAGAGATGCAACAAAATCATTAAAACATTAAATAAGGAAAATATTGTTCCCTGACACATTTCAATAATTTAATATTAAATAAATCTATGATTAAAAAGATATTGGCATATATGTATGAACCATAGATTATGCACATATGTCCAGTATTTGATACTTAAATATATGTACACAATATATATAAATATATATAAATATATGTATACATATACACATATATACATATATGTCGCATTTAAATTTATGCCTGATTTTTAATGATATATCTGCATACATTGCCATCAGATTTCCATATGGATTTTAGACCTATCACATATATTAGCATATATGTATATATACATATATATATATATATATATGCATGCCAACTTATTTGAAATTAGCCATATATCGTCAACATACGGAGCCCCGCTGATCACATCCTGTATGAATAGAAATAATGTGCAGCCATGTCGTATTAATGTGTGGGAACAAGATCCTAATGCATGGCCAAGACCTACTAAGGTTTGGGAATAAGATAATTAAGTTGTGGCCATGACTTAGTAAGGTGTGGAAATGAGATAATTAAGCATTGACCACAGCATAACAATGCTTGATCTCGTTCCCATGCCTTACTACATCACGGCTATGACATAATTATCTGGTTCCCACTTCTTACTCAGTTGTGGCCACGACTTCATCTTGTTCCCATGCATTATTAAATGGTGGTCATGCATTAAGATCTCATTCCCATGCCTTACTACGTTGTGGCCGCAACTTAATCATCTCATTCCCACGGCTTATCACTTTGTGGCCACGACTTAATTATTTCATTCCCATGCCTTATTAAGTTGTGACCACACATTAGGATCTCATTCCCACACGTTAATATGGTATGGTGAATAATATTTTATTTATACAGGATGTCATCAGCAACAAACATATATGTGAACAAATATATTTTAACAATATATAAGACAAGATAATTAAGTTGTGGCCACAACTTAGTAAGGTGTGGAACAAGATAATTAAGCCTTGACCACTGCTTAATAACAGATGATCTCATTCCCATGCCTTACTAAGTCGTGGCCAATTATCTTGTTCCCACATCTGAGTAAGTTGTGGCCACACATTAAGATCTCATTCCGACACCTTACTAATTCGTGACCATGCATTAAGATCTCGTTCCCACATGTAAATACGCGTTATTTTTATTTAAACAGGATGTCATCAGCGGGGCTCCGTATCAACAAGTATATATGTGTAACAAATGTATTTTAACAATATATAAGCAAAGCATTTTCCGTATACACTCTTACTGTATTATGACGCTCATATTCTTCATGTTGTATGAATGTTTTTATATATTTTCCAGACTCGAAGTGAAAATGAGCTTATTTTTCAGCCTCTTTAAACTCTGCACTCCCACACAGAACATCCTGTACTTGCACTAACTCACCACATGCATCATCGCCCTGAACACCGCGTCCAGCAGCATGAGCTTCCACGGTTCGGCCACAGCGCTGGGCAGCGGCAGGTAGATGTAGTAGGACGCCGCTGCTGCCAGCAGGACCGTGCCGAGCACAGCTGACCTCATCGTCACCGCCAACACGAGCAGCCTGAAAGCGCAGAGTCGCCCGGAGCGCAGCCCCTCATTCACAGCTACACTGTACTGCCGTGCTGCTCCTCAGATGACAGGGATTATGAAATTGCGGGACATTTTCAAAATAAAAGTCCCATAGGCTTCTCTTAGGTAATCGTCCCATTTGGAAATCTGATATATGGCCGTATATGTATAGATATCTTTAAGAGTCAGGCATATATTTCAGAAAATATGTATATATATGTTATATACATATGTGTAAGTATTATAAATGGATAATATATGGATCATACCTGTACAACCCAGTTTCCAAAAAAGTTGGGACACTGTGCAAAATGTAAATAAGAACAGAATGCAATGATGTGCAAATGATTTAAACCCTATATGCAATATGTGAAAATAGTACAAAGAGAATATATTAAATGTTGAAACTGAGAATTTTTATTGTTTTTTTGAAAAATACATGTCCTTTTTTAATTTGATGCAATCAACACTTTTCAAAAAAGTTGGGACAGGGACAAAAAAAAAGACTGTCAAAGTTGTGTAATGCTAAAAAATAAAAAATAAACCTGGTGGAATATTTCACAAATAATTAGATTAATTGGCAACAGGTCAGTAACACGACTGGGTATTAGAAGAGCATCTCAGAGAGGCTGAGTCTTTCAGAAGTAAAGATGAGGAGGGGTTCATCACTCTGTGAAAGACTGTGCGGGCAAATAGTGCAAAAAATGTAAATATAATGTTTTTCAATGTAAAAGCAAAGAACTTTTGCTTTTCATCATCTACAATACATCAAATCGTTAAAAAATTCAGAGAATCTGGAGAAATCTCTGTATGCATGGGACAAGGCCGAAAAACAATATTGGATGGCTGTGATATTCAGGCCCTCAGGTGGCACTTCATTACTTCTGTAGAGGAAATCACTGCATGGGCTCAGAAACACTTCTGAAAACCACTGTCTGTGAACTCAGTTCATGACTGCATCTACCATGCAAAGAAGAAACCATGTATAAACAGGATCCGGAAACGCCGCCGCCTTCTCTGGGCCCAAACTCATTTAAAATGGACTGAAACTAAGTGAAAACTTATCCTGTGGAAACAAGGTTGTATGTCTGATACAATGCTGCTTAAAAGTTTGTGAACTCTGTGTCGTAAATGTGACCTAAAATGGGATCAGATCTTCATTCACCTCATAACAAAAAATAAGATAACCCAATAAAACAAATAGCATTAACAATTTATATTTTTCATCAATTTATTGAACAAAGTGATCAAGCATTAAAAGTCTTTGTTGGCAGAAGTATGTGAACCTCAAGAATCATTACTTTGGTATAGGTGATAATTCGGGTCGGAAGGTTTGATCAATTACATGACAAGCAGATCAACCATCAAAGTCTGGTCTTCACTAATACATTAGTGCTTGCCATTTCTCAGCCAAAGGGAGATTTCTGAAGACCTCAGAAAAACCAGTGCTCATTTGGCTGGAAGAGGTTCCAATACTATTTCTCAAGAGTTTGGACGTCACTTACTGACCGTCAGCCAGATGTACAATTGGAGGAAATTCAACACCACTGTAACACCTCCCCTAGAGCGGTCATTCAACAAAAGTGACTCCAAGACTAAGGCGTAGAATATTCTGGGAGACCACAAAGAACCTCAGGATAACAGCTGAGGATCTGCAGGCCACTCTTACACTGGCCAATGTCAGTGCTCATGAGTCCACCATCAGGCAAACACTGAACAAGGAAGCAAGAACAGCAAGCTTCTCCCTGTTTAAAGGTTCCTAAAGACCACCTGGATGTGCCAGAAGACTACGAAATTAATGTGGACATGCAAAAATGGATCGTTATGGCTTAAATGAGAGATGTTGTGTTTGGCAAAGCCAAAAACCGCAATCCAGCATAAAAACTTCATCCCAGCTTTGAAACATGGCGGTGGCAGTGTCATGGTTTGGGGCTGTTTTGCTGCTATTGGACCAGGACAGCTAGCCATTTGATGGAGCTATGAATTCTGGATTGTATCAAGAAATTCTAAAGGAGAATATCAGAGCATCCATATGTGAATTGAACCTCAACAGTAAGTGGTCCTGCAGAAAGACCACAACCCTAAAAACACCAGGTAGTCTATAATGAGTGGTTAAAGCAAAAGAAATGTTATGTTTTGGAATGGCTTTCTCAAAATCCAGGCCTTAAACCAATAGAAATGTTGTGGCAGAACCTAAGGTGTGGCGTTCATGGAAGAAAGCCCACCAACATAACAGAGTTGAAGCAGTTCTGTAAAATAAATGGGTCAAGATTCCTCCACGTCAATGTGCAGAGCTGATCAACAGTTACAGGAACTGTCTGGTTGAAGTCGTTGCTGCTCAAAAGGGTCCTGAAAGCTGAGGTTCATATACTTTTACCAACAAAGACGTTTAATGCTGGATCACTTAGTTCAATAGATAAATGAAAAACTATATAATTGTTTGTGTTATTTGTTTTATTGGTTTATCTTTATCTATTGTTATGAGCTAAATGAAAATATGATCATAATTTATGTAGTAATTCTTAAAATGATAAAAGGTCCACTAACTTTCAGGCAGCACTATAGGTGGGTGAACACATATATGCACAACATATGGATTGTTCACCTTGCATAATCTATAATCTCCATGTTAAATTATTTAATGTTTCAGGAAAAAAAATTATTACATTACAAAGCTTATTACATGTTTGAATGATTCTAGTGCATGTTTTTAGAGTTTAGTTATGTAGCTGTTATTCTCATTTTCACTTTATTCAGAAGTGTGTGGAAGATGCATAACATATAAACACCATCCATGTATGAAAAATATTTTTCTGCAATACTGTTAAACACATATGATACACACTCACGTTTGAATATGTCAATACATGGCTGAAATATATGTCTCATATTTTTCAAATAAGTGGGCATATATGTGTCCATATGTGACATATATGAGCTGGAAATAAGCAAAATCCATATATACTAATATATGTGCATATGTCAGGAAAGGGTCAGGCATGTATTTCAAAATATATGCACATAAATGTCATGTACATGTATGAAAGTGTCAAATATTGGACATATATGCATAAACATATGGATCATTTATGTCTGATACATGGTTTAATACATCCCCGTACAGTTGTAATTGCTGCTAGGTTATCTGATTAATCAAATAATCAAATATTACATTATCTAAATGTGGAATAATATTTTAATATATTTAATGTTTTAGGAATTTTATTAGATAACAAGCAACGTGCATATTTTAGGGTTTATTTATGTAGCTGTTGTACAAATTTCCTTTAGGAACTGTTTGAAAGAAAGAAAGAAAGAAAGAAAGAAAGAAAAAAGAAAGAAGCAATAAAATCATTAAAACATGAGTAAATTACTATTTATATTAAATAAAATGATAGATTATTGTTATTCTGTGTGTATATATCTATATCTATATATATATGTATATATATAAATCTATATAAATATATATATAAATATAAATACACACACACACACACACACACACACACACATATATATATATATATATATATATATATATATATATATACACACCCATACACATGCACATACATATATATATGTATATGATCCTTAGATTGTGAATATGATTATATGTATAATGTAATGATAATATAATTATATGTGCACACATGACCTTATATCATATTTCCATATGGGGTCAAAAAGTCTAGAGATTGTAAGAATATGATGGGTGGGTGAGGTGCAGGACTTCAATAAAAGGTCCTGAAAATAAAATAAAGATCGTGTTTACAAGTGAAAGACTTTGAACTGTGAAAATACAAAGCGTGTTCAGTTTAAAGCGCTGTTTAAATCTTCACTGTAACACTTGGAGCTGTCATGACAGAGTAAAGTCAGCAGGGGTCGCTGCTCTCCTCCTAATGAAATCCCAGTCAGGCTGGAGTTGATAAGAACGACTTGATTGAACAGCTTGAAGCTGCTGAGATCTGATCTTTTGAGACTAAAGTAAAAATGAGGGTTCATGTTGCTGCGAAGGGGACAGAACAGTGTCGGTTTCAGGTATGAGTTCCAAAACCACTACTGATAATAGCCTTATGAAAATAATAAGGTTAATAATATGTTATAATATCTACTGGAAAAGTCTTTCAGTACAAAAATACATCAGTAGTTACAAAATCAAGCACCATTCTGCATCTCACTTTATGGTTTTATAACCAATAAAACACAAATAAACACAATAAATCATCAAGTAAAACACTAATTTATTAGCTGCATTCAAAAAGCTGTGTTAAGCAAGGGTTAATTTTAAAGGGCCCATAGCCCACTTTTTTTTTGTATATTATTTTTGACATTTGTGTCATTTTATGTGCTTAATAATAAATAAATAAAATAAATCATTTTTACTTGACCATTTTTCAACCTCTCTTTATCCCTTAGAACTACGGACTGTTTTTGGTTACTGCGCCTTTAAGACTGATATATGTAAATAACCCCTGCTCTCATTGGCTGCCCCAATGGACTTATTCACAAAGCAGTTCAGGCTCCTTATAACTTTACTGTGACTGTGCGGTGCTGAACTACCATGGTCTGAAAAGGTGGATATATCTCTGTTGTTGGAAGAAAACCTCGTATCTACCAAAATGGTAACTTTACAGGAGAAGGAAAAAACATACTTTACTTTCAATGTAAGTCAATGGAACCAGACTTTTTTCCAAGTCATTTTGAGCCATTTCTTTTGGTCCGATTGTCATGAAATGTACACACAATGTACATGTACAAGGACAACGTACATACATACATCATCTAAACCACTTATCCTTCTGGGTCGCGGTGGGGTGCTGGAGCCTATCCCAGCTGTCATTGGGCGGAAGGCAGGATACACCCAGGACAGGTCGCCAGTCCATCGCAGGGCAGACAGACATACACATACATTCACACACACACTCACACCTAGGGGCAATTCAGCATGTCCAATCAGCCTGACTGCAAAACCCACGCAGACACGGGGAGAACAGGC